TAATTAATATAATTTTGTGTTATTTTTAAAGATCTATCTGTATAAAAAATAAGAAGCTTCTTTGTATCTTCTGATTTTTTTTCTATTAAATAGTTCTGTATAATTATACTAATTTGCTATTTTTTAATGATTTTAGAACAGTATCATTTATCATCTGATTTTTTTATTAGAAGTTTATCTCCTCCCTCCTCTTAATATATATTTTGATCAGGAGGTTCTTATATATAATTTTAAAATTTTTACTTCTTTTTTCTCTAAAAAATTACCTGATTTTTGTTATATTCCTAAAATTTACAAAAAACAATTTATAAAGTTTTATTAACTACTACTTTTTTTGAGAAAATTTTGTCAAAAAGTAGATATTTTAGTTTATTTTCTTCAAAAAATCAATATATAATTTTTTTTGTTAATGCCATAGTTGAAACTTTATTTAATAAAATAGAAAGAATTCTATATTAAAGATTTCAAAACTAAATTTGTACTACTATATAATAGGCACCCAATTTAACATTATATCCTTAAGTTTTTTATATAATACAAATAATTATTATATAAATAGTTTGCTAGAGTAGATTAAGGAAACATAATTTATATATAATTTTTCAAAATAGTTAATATTGTTTATTTATTAAAACAAAATATTTATTTATAATAAACTTAGTGGCTGAATAAATCTAGATAAACATACAATAGATATATATACCTTAATGTCAAAAAACTATTCAACAATCTATCAAGACTATATAATAATATATTTAACTACTCTGTTTAGTTTAGTTTATTTTTTACAAAACTGCTAGTTTTTTTTTTAGATATATATATAAAAAATTTTTATATCAAATATTAAAGTTAGTATTTAAAGTTAGAATTAAGATTTAAAAATATTTTTAAAATCTAAAACATTTTACTTAGAATACTCTATACCAATTAATTTAATTTACTATATAGTTTTTAAAATAAATATAAAATACTACGTATAAATATGTTTTAGTAAAAGTTTAAGTTAAACGCCTTGTTAAACTACACTAGTAGTATGAAGTAAAAATATCTAACAACCAAAAAAACTTTACCCAACCTTTATTTTTAGCTTTAATTTTTAGTTTATAGCTTCTAAGTTTATCTTACATAATTTTTAACACTAACCTTAAGTATTGGCAACAAAGTTAGAATAAAAAATTATATACGTAGTGTTCAACAACACCACTATATAGTACGATTTATAATAATTGAATTTAAAATTTTTTTGTTAAATAAATTTATCCAATAATTTTTTTTACAAAATTAGCATTTTAATAGTTTATTTGTTATTTTAAACTTAAGAACAAAAATTAATTTATTAAATTTATTTAATAACAAAGTTTATATGTACAATATATACAATATAAACATACTGTATATTTAAATAAAAATACAGTCAACTATAACGAACTGAAGATGCTGGAAGAAAAAAAGGTCGTTATAGAAAAATTACTATGTTTTCTTAAAAACCCATGCCAATTTTTATACCGAACAGTTATGAAAGTTCAAAAATTTTTGAGTTCGTTATATCCAGAGTTCGTCATAGGAAGGTTCGTTATATCCAGAGTCGACTGTATCTAATAAAAATAAATAAAAATAAAATAAAAATAAAATATAAATAAAATTTATTAAAAAAAAATAATCAATAAAAAATTTTTTTACTTCATACTGTACATTAATTTGTTTCGGATATCGATATCGATCTGCCTAAACTAAACAAATTAATTTAGAACAAAAATTGAAAAGCGATATATGGCAGTCTCGAATGACAATTGGGACGAATGTAAATTTGGGACGTTAAAATTATAAGTTTAGTATAAATTAATTTTATTGAAAATACCGATACAGATACAGTGTATATATAGTATGATACATTATTTGATTTCCTTTAAATTATAAATTAAAAATATATACAGTACAGTAAAATGATTAAAAAAGCTGATTAAAAAGAAATTCAATTTACCATTATACAGTTATAGAAAACAACAAATTTGGACAATTTGTTTATATTTATTACACATAATAGCATAATAACCGGCGAATTTAGAACGTATAACATTCTATATAAAATTCTAAATTGTTTTGGTATGTAGGTATTGTAGGTAGTATAGAAGTTTTATGAGTTCCAATGATAACAACCAAAGCCTCGGCAACAAAAGTAAGCAACAAAAGTGAGCAACAAAGTAAGCAACAAAAGTGAGAGACAAAAGTGAGCAACAAAGTAAGCAACGAAAGTGAGCAACAAACGTGAGCAACAAAAGTAAGCAAAGTGAGCAACAAAAGTAAGCAACAGAAGTGAGCAACAGAAGTGAGAAACAGAAGTGAGCAACAACAGAAGTAAGCAAAAGAAGTAGTAAACAGGAAAAACCATTAACCCATTATCCCAATCATTACAAACTTGAAACTCGAGATAAATTAAAATTAACCGGAATATGTTTTTGATAATTTAGCACGTTGGATACGTACGGTACGTTTTCAGATTTCGAAGGTGAAACAATAATATTTCACGCAAGAATTTTTTTTTTTTTTTAGTACCGGAAAAAAATAAATATAGGACAAAATTAAAATAAAAAAATAAAATAAGAAATAAAAAATGAAAAAATAAAATCAAATATAATCTAGAACGAATCGTCATCTATCGAGGAAATGTGTGACTAACGGACTGGGACATAATACGTACGTAGGTACATGTGTAATAAATATATATATGCATGCATCTCTCGGTGATAACTAAACATCACCTTCATAGCCACCTATCACCACCTGATTTCCGCTAAGGGTAATATAAATACGAAAACATTCGAAATATCGGATTACACAGTAACATGTGTAATATTTAGTGTGACAAAGTATGTATATATGTATGTATGTGCTTTTTGTAGGTTTGTACATACAATCGAATCTTTATTTTATTTTAGATTATTTTAGAAAATCGTACCAAATTAAAGCAAGCATCAAAGAATTATATATCAACCGAGTTGGCATATCAACAATTAACTAAAGAAAAAATCGACAGTTTTTCGTAATAAAAAAAAGTCTACAGAAATTATAGGAATTGTGGCGAATCTTGGTGAAATATTTCTAAAATTAGATCGTGAATGATATTTGTTTTGGATGATAATTGAGATACGGTAAAGTGAGTACGTACAAACTAAATTCTCGTGCGATTGATAAACGTGTGATGAGAGGGAGTACGGCTGTGCATTGAATCGGGTGTCATTTAGGGGATGTGGCACTGGTGAGAGGCTTTTTTTGGATTGATATTATTTACTAGCAGACGTAAAGGGTTATCTCATCCCGACTTTTCCGCGGACACCCAATTACGAAATTCTTGATTTTTAATATCATTAAAAGCTTTTTTTTTTTTTTTTTTTCTCTCTTGACTTAAAACGGATTGATTTTAAAATAAATGAAACTTACTCCTTTACTTTTTTATTATAAATTTATTACGAATTTTATATTCTATGATATTGGATTAATTTCCCGTAATTAAAAAAATATATTTGATGCACTTCAAAAGAAGTTCATCATGGATTTCCACAAAAATTCTAACTTCTCTTAGTCAATAAAGAAAAAGGGAAGAAATTTATAAAGAATGCTTGGATGGGCCTGATGTGTGTATGTGCCACGGTGTAGTATTGTCTGTTTTTGTCTTTAAAATACTATTTATATTGTCATTTGATGACTTTCAAATATAAAGCAAGACGCGACCCCGACTCTGGTCTTTCCTAATATGGATAGCAATTGCATGCTGTGACGTTACACATCACTTTTTTGACCAATCAACGTGCGAGCAGTAAAGGTTTGGAGACAGCATGAAATCATTTTCTCTTTTGAAAGAGGCAGCCGGCTTTTTGTCTTGGAAAGAGGACACACACACAAGCCTTTCCGTCCAGTATGTTCCAAACCAAAACCCCTCACAACATACAGAATAAATACAACCATACAAATGAATTACGTCTGCGTTGCAAAAAAAAATCATCTATACAATTCATTATCTCGGACTATCCCCCGTAATTTTCTTCCCACAGAATAAAAAAAACTTTACTTGACATCTCTTAACTTGACTGTTGTTCCCTTACGTACCCAAAGACTGTTGCCTGTACTATTTGACTACTATTTGTAATAATACAATCAATAAATACTTACCACTAATCCTACCCCCAAAATACTTTCTTCCCTTTTTAAAAAATTATTAAAGCCTTTCATCTCTTTCCAAATCAATCTATCTTCCGTACTATTTCCTATTATACTCTTTATACCCATTCATGGCTCAAAACCATTCTCACTCTAGTAGGGGAAGACATGTTTCGTCTCATGAAAATGGTGTCGTTCCTCACGAGAGATACCAAAAGTTAAAGCGTAGGGTTTGTGATATGCAAACTGTAAGTAGTCCTGTTTGTAATTAATAAATATGTTGAATGCCCTTGTGCCTATTTAAAGCTCAACGATCCCGTAAGGAATGTTCATGTTTCTTCGAGGTTGTGTCAATTGCGAAGCGTTCTTAAACTTGACTCCCTCCAAGTTTTCCGACTACACAAGATGTTGTTTGAGACTTTATGTTATTCCTTTTATTCTCCTTTCTCTACTGCTAATGCTATAATATGTCCCGACTTATTTCCGACTTATTCCCAAGTTATTCCCTGGGTTGTTCGTTATTTCTTTGAATACTTTATGACCTCTTGATAACTTTTTCGTATTGTTAACGTGCGGTTTCGGTCTCGTAAATATTGTTGGGAGTCCTGCTTGCTTTTGTTACTAATACTGATTGACTGCGCAAAAATCTTTTTCAATTATCATGAAAGCTAACCAACTTTTCTATATTTTAATATCATGATAGGATCTTGACAAAGTTTCAAAAGAACTTGATAAAGTTTCTAAAGAACTCGACAGGTCACGTAAAAGGATCAAATCCCTTAAAAGAGAGAAAGAGTGTGTACTTTCAATATTTTTAAGTGTTGTTAATCTTTCCAATGTTTTTAATGTTTTCCAAATTTACCTTTTTATCTTTCATTTGTCCTTCTCTTTCATGTAGGTTGTTGTTGGATCGTATCAGCCGGTATGTGACTGACTCTTCTGATTCTGAAAAATCAATTGAACTCTCGTCAGAGGCTTCATCAGACTCTGATGGTAAATATCTTCTTTTATTATATTATTACTACTATTATTATTATTATTCAATTATTAATTAAATTATTAATTAAAATTCTGACTATTTAATACATCTTAGTATCTTCGGCTCAACAATCTAGAGCGTCATCTATCATTCGTCAGATAAAAAAACCCCGCGGGCGTATTTCAAATAAAAAATCTTCTCCACCCACACCCGCAAATAACATTGTGAATACCGTTCCCATCCCTCATGCTTCCGGGAAGGTTACGAAAAAGCGTGCTAGTAAACGTCCACTTAATGCTAAAACTATGAAAGTTCAACATGTTGAAAAGGATGATGATGGAAAATACAAACTTCCTGTTCAAATTGGTATATTGACCGTATTGAATCTTGGTACCGTCGTATATGAACGTGATACTTTCCACAACGAAAGATACATTTGGCCTGTTGGTTATGCTGTTAAAAGGTTTTACTTTTTATTAATTTTATTAATTTAATTTTATTATCATCCTATTATCATCCTATTATCATCCTATTATCATCCTATTATCATCCTATTATCATCCTATTATCATCCTATTTTTTTATCTATTTTTATTTGTTTCACTCATTTCTTTATATTTATATTTTTATAGAGCTTACAATAGCATGATCAATGCTGATAGCCAAACAATGTATGTCTGTAGAATTGAAGATGGCGGTGAAGGTCCAAAAGTACGTTAATTTGTTATTATTTCAAATTTTTTAAAATTTTATTAAATATCTTTTGTTTATATTATGTTTATTAATAATGTTTATTAATAATCTTTATTTCAATTAGTTTGTCATAGAAGCTGAGGACCAACCTGATAAACCTATCATAGCGAATACGGCGACCGGTGCATGGACTTCGGTCGTTCGTGAAGCTAATGCTATTCGTCATCGTGATCACTCTAACTCCGCTTCAGGTCCTGACTATTTTGGTTTCTCACAGGCAACTATCAGAAAAATGATACAAGACTTACCTAATGCTAACAAGTGTAAGAACTATGTGGAGCAACATTTTGAAGTCATGAAGACGAGGAATGGTGGTGGTAGACGTAGAGGCACTGGTGCTCGTACCAACACTAATGGTAGAGCGAATGGTGCCGTTGAGTCTCCGGTGTCCACCGCTCCTCAAATAACTGAAGAAAATGGTGTCGAATCAAACAGTAGCAATGGTGATGTTGATGTTGCTATGTCTAATTCTGGTGATGGAGAATCGGAAAGTGCGGAGTAAAATATAAATGAATGATTATATTTTAAATTTACTTGTGCAGAGCTTTACTCAGTGTTGGATTTACTTTTGGTATAATTCTCTATTTGTGTTAAGATTCTATTTTAATCTCTTTCTCTTTTTTTTTTTTTGCGGTGAATATATATATTTTTGTTTTTACTTACACCAAAATTATTTAGCTTTATATTTTTGTTTCATATGCAGCACGCTATTTTGTTAGATTATTTTCTTGTACTTAGCCACGTAGAATATGTTTCATTACTGACGAAACATTTTATATATACATTATTTTGTGCATGTAGGTTTTAACCTTTCATACATATACTAAGATAAATGTCCCCTTTTTTTTGTTGTATTCGATTGCAAATCTGCAATTGGTAATGAATGGGTAATAAATAATTATTTGGGGCTCCTAATATATACATTTTAATATTTTTGTTTAATTTTTATGCTGAAATATTAAAAATATTTGAAATATTTTGAAATATTTTATATTTGTGATTTATAATTTTATGTTTGTTATATGTTTTGTTTGTTTTATTAACGTAATTGGCTTTAGTGGGTTGGAAAAAAATCATATACAGAAATTATTAAAATTTTTAAAATTCTTTAAAGTTAATACTACGAATCTTTGTCAATTTTAACTGGGTTGGTGCGTTGATTTACAGTAAAATTTATTAAACAATTTTGTACAATGTTATAAAGTGTAATATGATTTTTTATACTCTTAATGTAGAATAATTTTCAGACATTTCTATTATTTATATAAATTTGAGTAATAGATCATCAGTTTTCAAGCATCACTCATAATTTACTAGTCCAATGGATAATTTAATTTCAAATAAAGATGTCAAAAAGAAAAACATTTATTCATTATTTTACATTCTATACATTAATAACTCTTGACAATTTTTGAATACGATTCAACAGTATATCTCCTTGTTTGATTGTTTGCTGATATTGTGCATTCTTGGCATCTGGTCTATTTGTTTCCACAATCCCATTCACTTTATCAATAACACAATTAAGACGTCCGGCTGCAATAAATTTGGAAAGATCACTATTTTGTAATTAGAAGATTCATCATTATTAGTATCATAATTATTAGTATTATTATTAGTAAGATTTCTACTTAATTTTGTGATGACTATTATTGCTTGTTGAAATTTACCTGTCAATAAAGTCTTCTGAAACGCCAAAAGCATTTGCCATGCTTTCCATAGTAAGCGAACGATACGATTCTAAAAGTTGCGCATATGCAATTATTCGCATTTCACGTACGTAATAACGAAGGTGAGAGAATAAATATCTTGATGTGCGAAGGTGACTGCGTTCAACATCGGCTGTTTTCAAATATGTATAATTTACATTAAATTTTTGTACTTTTTGACTTGATTATTATGACGTGTTAAAAAATTTATGTTTACCAAGAGCCTGGAAAAATTTCGCATATTCACAATTATAAAGTGAATTGATAAAATCCTTTAAATATGGGATCTCATCTAATACTTCCAATACTTCTGGTGCATCAATAACCTAAGAATAATTAATTATATATTAAAATGTATATGCTAATAAACTTGAATAATTTGAAAATGAAGTGTAAATACCTTCTTTTTTAAATCAACTCGATTAAGGGAAATGATTCCTGCTAAAACTGAATATTTTACAAAATCCTTATATTCCATTAACTCGGTTGACATAAAGGTTGAGAGTGTATCAAGAAATAAATTTGCTGCTGTTTTAAAATCACGTATTGATAATCGATATATGCCTTCATAAACTTTAAGGCGATTACGTCGATCCCAATCACCACCTTCTTCGATCATGCTGTAAATGATATTAAAATGTAAGTAATTGATATTTTTGAATTAATTCACGCGTATATCTTACCTTCTTGCTTTTTCAATATTACGACTAATAAGGTCATTATCATTAAAAAAGAATCCAATCCGCACAAAAGAAAAGATTATATCAATTCGAGAACCTAATCCTGCAGTTTTCTCTAAAGCAACTCGATATGCCGCTAGTGCTTTTTCCTATATTCGAAAAGTAATGAATATCAGCCTTCATTAAAAAAAAAAAAGGATCGAATAGCGATTATACATACTTTATCTCCAATTTTGGCAAAGTAATCAGCTTTAGCTAACAAAGCATCGCTTATTTCTGTCTCACCAAGATTTTTTTCGGCATCTTGCAGTCGTTCTTCTAATTTTTGTAACTCTTCTTTATTGGCTTCTTGATATTTGGTTAACAAGGCCTTGTTTAACGGAATTTTGAGTTCTTCAGTTACAAGTTGGTAAAATGGTGCCATGTCTAAAATATTTAATATAATGTCAATCACTAATGCAGAATCTACTATAAAGATTTTAGCCCTTATTAACCTAATACAGGCAAGAAACTTACTGTTTTCATCAATTATATTAAACAACTTTGTTTTGGCTTCTTCATGTTGTTCTGGAGTTTTGGGATTATTCAAAATGAACCGGTAATGTGCGAGTTCAAGGTTAGGTAATTTTGCAATTGAAGTGTCTGACATTTTGATGGTTTAAAAGGATAGAGATAACATTAAAAAAAAAGATTTTTATACACTGTTAAACAGCCAATCATAATTAGGACTTCTCGGAGTTATCACAACGTGATTATGGTAGCCAATAAAAATCCTGAATTTACATGCGGCCGATATTCGTACCCCCTGTAAATTAAATTTTTTTTTAACTTTAAGCAACGATTTCTCGGCAACCACCAAGTCAAATTCGATGAACTTTTTCTATTTGAATTCTAAAAAAATATAGAATTCCAATAAAAAAAGTTCATCGAATTTGACTTGGTGGTTGTCGAGATACCTTCGCTCAAAGTTTTAAAAAAAACGTCTATAAAGCTGTATCAAATTTTTTTCTCAAACTTTGAACGAAGATATCTCAACAACCACCAAGTCAACTTTGATGAGCTTTTTTTTATTTAAATTCTATATGTTTGTAAAATTCAGATAAAAAAAAGTTCATTGAATTTGACTTTATGGTTGTCGAGATATCTTCGCTCAAAGTTTGAGAAAAATTTGATGCAGCTTTATTTTGATAGACATTATGAGTTTTCTTAAAACTTTAAGCGAAGATATCTCGGCAACCACAAAGTCAAATTCAATGAAACTTTTTATATTCAAATTTTACAAGCATATAGAACTCAAATAAAAAAAAGTTCATCAAATTTGGCTTGGTGGCTGTCAAGATATATTTGTTCAAAGGGTTAAAAAATTTTTATTTTTTTTTTAACCTTCACAATGTCACGTGAAGGCAGATTTTTATTAGGTATTTAAGTAATATATTCTTGGTTAATGAGAGCATATTTAGCCACACATTCAGCTTTTGGTTACCTATTTAAGTAGTCCACCCAAAGGTTCTACATTATATATTATACTTGTAACTTAATTAAAAGATTATCTATTTAAATTTTTTTTTTTTTTTTTCTCTTGAAATATTGCAGAAGGGTAAATTTTTATTAGGTATATTAGTAGTACATTCTTGGTTAACGAGAGTACATTCTAGCCATACCTACACCTTTTGAGTATTTAATTAAATAGCTACCTATTACTAAGGTTTATATTAAATGTCGTACCTATAACCCAATATTACTTGAGCTATCTAATTAAACTCTCTGGTGTCTCCTGTTTTGCACCACCTTAATTACGCCAACCCATAACCTTGTGCTGCTTCATTGAAGACCACTCAGATCAACATATGCTACACTACTTGCACTCTAATTCTATAAATAACCTAGTAGGGTTCTCATATTTATCAGATTACCTTAGGAAAGATGTAGTATATACCTTCTAATCTTTCTATATTCTATATATTTTCAGACTAGGCTTTTTCAGTAACTTACGTCGAGTCTGAAGACAAGTACTTGTGAGCTGAGGTCGCTACAGTTACCTACTATTGTCTTTGTAGAGTTCACCCAAACATTGATATTTATTTACAGATTCCCTCTTATACCTCCGAAAACCCAAACTCCCAATCCGATAGCCCGGAAGAGTGAAATCATTTCTCTGGTTATCTGATAGCCTGGTTGGTATAGTGCTTTGCCAAACACCTCAGTCCCGTCCAGTTTTCCGATATCCAGTTGATCATCCTTTACATAATAACTGTCGAAGATTTGTACTACCTCTCTACTCAGGTCTTGCTAAGCAGGCTCTTATATCCTATAAATTCATTGGATTTATTTGATAATTTCATTTAGGTTTTGTGTAATTTATACATCACACTATATGTTCCACTACCTCCCAATACAAGATGGTATGACCACCATTACAGGTTTTACAACCCAATAGGATATAGTCTTCCAAATGCATTTTTTATAAATTCGAATTTTCATTGCCAATAGAATTCGAACTCTAGTCTTGCTATTTGAGGATGCGACAACTTGTCAACTTCACTAAGTTACCGCACTCTTTATTGAAATTTTCTAATATTTCTTGTTTTGTATCACCATCATAATTATGTCAACACATATTTTTGTATTGCTTCAATTGAAGACCACTCAGATCGATATTTGTTAAATTACTTGTGCTCTTTTTCTATAGATAACTTAATAAAGTTCTTATACTATCAAGTTATTCTAAGAGATGTATAGTATATATTCCTTTAATCTTTCTATATTTTATGCATTTTTAGATTAAGCTTTAAATACCTTTTGTAATGGTTGAAATCATTACTAATAGTCTGGCTAATTGTTAAATTGACATTTTTAATATTCATGTTTTTACAAAATTCATTTTAATTCTAACATTTATATTAAACCAGTTTTTTATCAATCCCTCTTCAATTACCAAACCAGTTAGTCTAGATAAATCATTGTATCTAGGTTTTAGATACTTTCTAGTTTTACTTTCTCTTGATTTTTAATTCTATAACATAGAACCTTTTTCTTTGATATGACTTTAGTAGCCAGATTGGTAAACCCTTCTTGTCCTAGTGATTTTTGTCTGATACTTCAGTTTATGGTTTTGGCTTTTTTACAATATTATTAAAGATTTTTACCATCTTCTTATTTGGGTCTTATCAAACAAATTTTAAATATTCTAGTTTTTTGAATTTAGATTGCTTAAAAGTTTTTATTTTGAGATGTTAGTATCAAAACTACAGATAATATACTCAACTAATTATTAAATAAATATTATTAATATACAAGTTTATTTTTTTAAAAACATCTTTGATGAGATTTGAACTCTAGATCTGCTAGTTGAAGAATAACAACTTAATTATTATTCTAAGCCACTACACTCTTTTTTAAGAAAACTTAATTAGTAATTCTCCAGTCAACTAAATAAAAATATTTTTTTATATATAAATTTTATTATAAGCTTAAAAGTAGAGTACTTTTATCTAAAACTTTTTTTCTTATTAAGTAAATCACTCTTAAGCTTCTAACAAAAGTTGTAGAGTTTATTAAAACACATCTAATAGTAAAAAGCATATTATTATTAGCTTGTAGTTCTTTAAAAACATTTTGCTAATATATAAAATTTTAAAAAATTTTATGTTAACAAAATTTTTTTTAACCAGACCAATTTTAATATTTTTTTATTATCAAATATATTTTAATAAGCTCTACAACTTTTATTAGAAGTCTAAAAGTAATTTACTTAATAAAAAAAAGTTTTAGATAGAAGCACTTCATTTTCAAGCTTATAGTAAATTTATATATAAAAAAACTTTTTTTGTTTAGTTAATTAAAGAATCATCAATTAAATATCTATTAAAATAAAGTTGTATTAAATTTTTTTTCAAACTTTGAGAAAAGATAACTCAACAACTATCAAGTTAAATTTATTAACTTTTTTTTATTTTGAATTCTATAAATATATACAATTCAAATAAAAAAAGTTCATTAAATTTAACTTGATAGTTGTTAGGATATTTTTACTTAAAGTTTAAGAAAAAATTTGGTATAGCTTTATTTTAATAGATGTTTTAAATTTTTTTAAAACTTTAAGCAAAAATATTTTAATAATTACCAAATTAAATTTGATAAACTTTTTTATTTGAAATCTATATATTTGTAGAATTCAGATAAAAAAAAAATTTATTGAATTTTTACAGAAAGCCAAGTTAGTAGTCAAACCTAACATACAAAGCAGACTTTGATACTTTTTATAGCTATAAGAACTGAATATAAAATAGCAAGCATCTTTATAGAAGAAAATCTTACCAAATCATTACTAACATTATTATTTTTTTAAATATTAAAGTAACTACTTAGGGTCTGATGCATTTTATTAACTTCAATTTGAATATCAGAATAGCTACATGGGCTGCCTCTAACTTTGTTACATTAACAAGAGTATATTTTAACCATATCTGTAGCTTTTGAATATTTAATTTAAGTAGTTTGCCTATTACAGTCTGGTATTTTACTAAATTTAAAAATCGAATCTAGAATATTCCAGGATTATGTTTCGAAATTTGATTCGCAAATAATTATCCTTTTCAATACAAACCAGCGAACTTTATTACTCAAAAAAAAATATTACTGATTTTTTAAAAAAAATTAATTGTCAAAATACACTTTTCAAAAGTCAAGTTTTAGAATCTACAAGGATCCCTAAAGGTCTACAAAGCATTTTTTTTTTATTCCTACTTAAATTATATAGTATATATATTTGTATATAGAAATAGCAAATTTAAAAACAGAAGCCAAAGATTTTTCTTGTTTGTTTGAATTTCTTGTTGAAGATTATTTAAACAGTGAGTTGGTGAAATGCGAAACTCTTGAAAGACAAAAGTAGTGAAATCTAAAAGCTTCTATGGTAGTAAATAAAGCAAATGTATTAGTTAAGTATCTTCCAAAATTGCTTCTGTTACTTGATTTCTTAAGCAATTATTCTATATGTCAAAAACATTATAACAACATAATTGTTAAAAATTTTTTTCTTGAGCAATTAGAAAAGTCAAGGATTCGGTTTTTTTGGCTTTAATGAAAAAAAATAAAAAAGGTTAAATCATCTAATAATAAAATGAATTTTTGTGATTTTGGGATTCAAGTGTTATTACTGAATCCCAAATATAAGCATAGCAAGCTTTATTATAATTGGCTAATTTTTAAAGATCATCTCATCATAATAAAAGTCTTATTAAAGTAATGATTTGCTATCACAAGAATGCACAAAAATAAATTCACAGCCACAAACACAAATTCACAGAGGTTATAACATGAAAATTTAGAAAATATACTTTTGGCTCTACAACATATCAAAGTAATTTGGTAATTAACGAGGTAATTCAGAAGTTAGATAAAAGATATATTTAGGCATTTCAATTTAACCAATATAATCTATAATGTATTAAGCTTGATAAAATAAGTTTTTTTTTTTTTTTTTTTTTTGTTAAGGTGTCTTTTAGAACCAAGCTTTATTGATGTTTGTTGTTGACTACATGGGTCTACATTTTTAGTATTTATATACTTCACCAATTATTTTAAACTAGATACCTTTATATCGAAATGTTCTCTGCTATTCTTTTTATCTGAATTAGGTTACTCTAG